GGGGCCGCCGGGCCAATGGGGCGCACGGGGCGGGCGGGCGGCAGGTGCCGGCCCCGGGGAGGGACGGGGACCGGGACCGGGCCCGCGCCGAGTCCCCGGCCCAGGGTTGCCGAGCTCGGAGCTGCCAGGGCCGCTGCAAGGGCCCTGCGGCCGGGGGGGGACCCCGCGGCCGGGGGGGACCCCGCGGCCTGGAGGTGGCCCCGCGGCCTGGAGGGGGCCCCGCGGCCCGGAGGGGGCCCCGTCCAGCCCCTCTGCTGGCCGAGAGGCCAGCAACAAAGGGGCTGGTGATTCTGCCTTGGGGAAAAGGGTTACCCAGGGCAAACGTGTCCCTTGGCACTGGGCTGGGTCGAGCTCCGCTAGCTGCTGTGCAGGACAAAGTCATTCATTCTCTACAAAGCACCCTCAAGGTGTCATGTGCAGGTTGGGCTCCCCTTGGGGACCGGGTGACAGCAGCGGAATGTCCCAGGGCCGTGGGTGCTGCTTGGAGCTGCCCTGCCCTGTTGTCCCAATCCTGCAGGGTGCAGCCGGGAGGGGAAGGCGCTTTGCCGCAGGCCATGAATCCTCCGTGAAGAGAGGAAATGATTGCGGAGGATCAGGGCTCCGCTCGGCCCTGCCCTTGCTGGCAGGAGGCTGCTCAGCCCTGCTTGGGTCTCCGCCAGGAGTGACTCCCCCAGGCCAGGTCGCAGTCAGGAGCACAAGCCCGGACCTGCTGCACCTTTGCACAGGGGCCAGGTACTTTTGGAGCAGCGCAGCCTCCCCCAGCAAGCTGGTCTCGGGCTTTTCCTTCCCTTGCACCTGCTTTCCCTTGGCTCCTTCCCCACCACATTAGGCAGCACACGGGTGTAGAAGAGGCAGAAATAGCCCTTCTTTTAGCTTTCCTCTCCCAGGGTACTGCTGTGCAAGGGCAGGCACCCAAGCCTCAGTGAGCAGGTCCTGGGAAAGCGAAGAGCAGAGCCTGAGCTCTCCCTGCCCRAGCTCCCAGCTCATCCTGTTCCTCCCTCTCACATTTGGATTTCCCCCTGGAAGCGCTCMGGGCTCGGGGCCAGGCACCTGCTGCGCGGGGCTGTGGTGGGTGCCGCTTCCAGGACAGCTGCCGGTGGCGAGCGGCCGAGGGAGGGAGAAGCGGGACCTGCCGGGACCTGCTGGGAGCGCCGTGCGGCTCCCATCCAGCTCCAACCTCCTGCTGCRGGGACAGGCCAGGGACTCCCGCGCTGGTGGCCACTATGCTCCTCTGGCAGGGCTCATCCCCAGCCCCGCGTTACCGCTCGGCCGAGCAGAGCTTTTTCCTGGCAGGGATTTCAGCCGACAGCGTTTCCTCAGGGTGGGAACAGCTCGGAAAGCTGCTGCCGTTGCCAGTGACACACAAGTGCAAAGAGGAGGCRTTTGCAAGCTCTTCCCCTGCAAACACATGCTCTGGAGCAGACCCTGCTCCCAGCTCGGAGCTTTCCCCATAGGAGGTATCTGCCCTTGTCAGGACAGGGGATGCTCCTCGGCCTGGCTCACCCCTCGATCACCTTCCTGGAAGGCAGATGCTGTGAGGGAAAACTCCTCCCTGAAGGCACTGGGGGATGCAAAGGGTGCAGGCTGGACCCCCCGTGCTCCCTGCAGACAARCAGGAGCCCCGAAGGGCCACGTCCCGCGGTGACTCAGGTCGCTCTCCGGGCTGCTTGCAGACRCCCCACGTGCTCGTTACACCTGCTGCGGATGTGGTTACGCACACGGGGTTGCACAAGGTACCCAACTAAGTGGTTTTCTTTTAAGAGGCAAAGGCACCGCTTCGGCTCGCCTTGAAATGTTATTAATAAGATTGGTTCCAACCACGGCCAGGGCACGCAAACAAAAGCTGTGTTTGCTAGAGGAAAAATCTCGAGGAAGGGAGGAGGGTGACCTGTTTGTGAGTGGGCCAGAAGGCTGGAGGACAGAGAGCAGCGAGAGGAGAGCGAGGGGAAGCTCCGGGATGATTCACGGGCTGGAAGGGGGTGTTTCTCAGAGGTGCTGCCGGTTCGCTGCAGTGTGGGCTGCAGGGACGGCCGAGCCTCGGGGTGCTCAGGCAGCTCTGCCAGGGGTTGTGGCAAAGCTCCAGCCTCGCACCTGCGCGGGCTGCCTTTAAAAGCTYGGTAGCTCTTACCTTAACCCTCCACGGGGCAGAAAATGTATTGTGAGCTTCTCAGTTCAACCTCCTTGGGTCCCGTAGCTCTACAAAGCATTTCAGGTTTCCTGCTGCAAAGCTCCTGCGGTGGCAGGACGTAAAGGCACCAGTAGAACTTTCAGTTACAAAAAAAGGAACCGAATTTCTTGGCGAGGCCGACACCCAAGCCCCCTTAATTCAGACTCACAAATCAGCAAATTATGCACTGATACTGCCCTGTTACAGCAATGGTGGAGGAGATCTAGGAAATGCACTGCTACACAGCCAGGCCAAACCCAGGAATTGATGACCAGCTACAGGGGAAAGGCAGCAGGACAGCCCGCGAGCAGTCTCCAGTCCCTGCCGCCTGAAAACAGCTCCTGCACTTTGTAAAATGCAACATCTCCCTCTGCTGTCTAAGGACCATTATAGCTCCTTCGGTGCCTTAGACAAAAACACCGTCGAGGAGCTTGATGGCAACGCACCGAACACGAGATTAGTGGGATGCACAGGGCTTGGTCTGCAGACATAACCACTACTGAACTACCTAATGACCACAGCTAAGCATGAGCCTTTTCCAGCTTTAAAAACAAAAATCAATGCTGCCCTACAGTAGAAGTGGTCTCCCATGTTTTTAACTGTAGCCATTTGTCATACAAATAGCAGTAATAGCAAACATATTAGTGATTTTATCAGACAGAGAACATAACCTTGCTTCTTTTTTTCCAGTTCCTTATCTCTTCTGGTATCTTCTGCAGTGAGCATCAAAACTGCTTTGAARACCATGGCTGGATGCAGTTGAAGACTTGAAGCTGTGCTGCAGGTGTGGCTAAAACAATGCTAAAAGATACTACAAATGTTAGTAAAAATCCTGACCACAAGAGTTTTGTCCTTCTTATGTTAATCTCACCTGTGACCATCCTGTGTATGTGACCAGAGGCAGATGCCTGGAGCAGGTTTGTTGTGACTTTGTTAATCAGGTGGCCTTAGTAACCAGACTATACGGCCACTGCTTTATTATAGACAGGGTCCTTTAAAAGATCTCATCCCTTCCAGCATAAGGAGATCAGGGGATTTACTGCTGTAATTCCAGCCAAAGTGATGCCGCTTGTGTTGGGCAATGAACGTTGACATTAGTTTATCAGACCTATTAAGGTCAGCCTTTAACCAGAGCCAGATTCATTCCAAAAACCAGCATCTCAGGTGCCTTCTTGTCCCTTCCCGTSCCTGCCCTGGTGCCAGCCGTCCCTCTAAGCTGTCTCCTGGTGCTAGACACAGGAATGTCGCAGGCGCAAGGGAGCCCGATTAAATCATCGCCAACAATGGGCTTGTGGGGTTTGCTAGGGCTCCCAGATCAGSTGCTGACAACGAGGTGAGAGCAGCTCCGCAGAGCACTTGGCTCCCAGGTAGGAACACGGCACTGGATTTAAAAGCCCAAACTAGCTTATTGCATAATAAGCTTTTTTATAATTCAGATTTTTGCAAACTTTATGAACCAAAATCATACACAGAGCAATAAATATGCCCCTCCACCTTTTTTAAAYCAACCAGTAAGTATCAGCATGGCATCTGACAAGCTGTGTAAACACGTTTATATTTGTTAGTTTGATGAGGTCAGCTCAGAGACACAAAGCTCTTCAACAGTTGGAATAATAAACAGGAATCTATGGCTCAGTTTATCTCTGAATGGTTGCAGGGATGCTCATCACAGCCACATCGTAAATTCCACTGCTATCAGACTAGCAGGTRCCAAGACATTGCCTCTTACTCACATACAAATTTAATCAAAATTAAAGTAGATTTGGTGGGCATTTTCCAGGCAACTTATTGCTTGCTCCCAGTATTAGGTGTGTACAAAATAGGGAATAATGCCTAGCTAATAAGTTTTTGCAACTGAGATTTGGCTTCCACAGTCAAATGCACCTGGACGGACAGTCAGGTATGATGGTTTAGCAGGAACAACTGGACTTCTGCCCGACTGCCACTACGAGCCACTATTTTTCACCCTCTCATTTGCAGCTACTCCAACTGCAGATAACAGAGATATCCCTATCCAACAAAATCTACATCTAGAAGAGTTAAAGCTGAGGGTTGCAGCGRTTGATTAAAAAATTACAGGACAATAAAACCTTCTTAATTTACCCAAGAAAAGCCATGAGTTTATTCCTCTAATTCATATTAGTTTGATTAGAGCCATGCTATCCAAACTGTTTTCATAACCTGTCTAGTCCATTGTTTGAAAAACTGACATTGCACATAATAAATCAGGACAAAATACATTTTTAAAAAAAGAGCTGTAGCATTTGCATTACTCAGTTTCTAATGTGTGCCTTATACCATTACACAGCCAGCAAGAACTGTTTTTATGGTGGTGCTGTAATGAAGTATATTGACCACGAGAAGGAAATGATAAAAGTTCACATGAAGATAGCATTTTATAAATTATATGAACTTTATTTATAACTCGTCTTCAAAAGTCAAAAACATGACAAAGTAATTGCTCGGAAGCGTCTAACTGCTCCTGAAACATTTTATCAGAATTTCATGGAAGTGCACTTAGAATAGTAGCAGAAATCTAGTTTCAGGTCAATCAGTATCACAAAACTTGATTCTCAACAGAACCTTGAAGTCCCCAACCCAGCCACTAATGCATCATAATCTCTTWGCAGATTAAGCATTAAAAACTCAAAATACAGAATTAATTCTCCAGAGCACTATGAGATTTTCTTCTTTTTCTCCTGGGACTGACCACCCAGTCACCAAGCATATACTCAAGCATGAATCCATACTAGTCTGTACAAAGTCTGTGAAAATTACCAAACCCAATTCAAATTAAATACATTAGAGGTCTGTCTGGACACACAGTCCAATAAAGTGGTTTGAGCTGGATTATATCACGTTACCTCCTGGTTCAGGGTAAGGCTGTGCTGCCATCTGCAGAGTGCAAAGTTAAATCTGCTGGCCAAATTGATCAGTGGCGAGTTCTGTGGTGGTGCAGGTCCACCACGCCAAGCATCCCGCTGCCAAGTCACTGTGTACTGAGATCTCAGTCCTATGCTGATTTACACGCTCGCATCAGGTGCCTCAGCTGACTGGATCACAGTATCTTGATTATTTAATTAATGAGGTGCTGAACTAAGAAAAGGAAGCTCTGTAATTAACAGAGCAACGTTAAATAATGGAATAAATCCATTTACCATGTATTGGAATAGTCATCCTACCTTCTGGTTTCTATTTTACTTTTACTGTTTAACTATATCATACATACATTATATGGAGAACAATCTATGCACAAGTTCAGCTACTTTAGTGACATTCAAATGAAGCTCAGGAATTCAAAAYATTTGCTCAAATTGAAAGGCAGAAAAGTAGTACCATGTGAGCCCTATGGATTGTAAATATATATAATTTTTAAACCAACTTGCCCTGAGGGATGTAAAAACTAAATACATACATGAAAATTTTAGTTTAAATAAGCAGCAGCATCATTTCAAAAAACTTCAGAATTCCTCTGTTAACATAAGGTTTAAAATCAAATTGAGAAAACTAATGCCAATATCATGAATCAAAGCCAGCAAATATGAATATTATTTGCTATATTACTTAAATTTCATCTTCAAAAAACAACACACTAAGACATTTTGATTTCCAGGTTAGAAGCTATCTTTGTCACAGTACGGAAGAAAACAGTAGGCATAAAATTTAAGTATTTTGAACTAGTTTCTTACGTAGTTGCACAGATCTGCTTGGGAAGTGTGAATATTTATATAGTTGTGAGGCTGACTATGAGAATTCAAACACTGGCAAATATTACGGAGTCACAGTTATTATAGGTCACTTGAAGTGAGAACCGATCTGACAACTCCATCTGACGCCCAAGCTCTTGCTGAACCAGAGCTGTGCATACACCTCTGACTGCATCATTTARGAAGCGTAAATCAGAGACTGGGGAGACTTATTTACTGACTAGCTCAGGCTACTCCTTCTGGAATGTTTTTGCCTTTAAAAACTCAAATGAACAAAAATGCAGAAAAAAAAGGATCTATCATTAAACTCTGTGTGAAGCTAGTAAGAAAATTAGGCTGACATGGTTGCCCAGCATACAACATGCTAACAAGAGACCAAATGACACAGAAAGTCCAAACCAGGATTCGAAACCAAGAGCTAGATATTAAAGAGTCTTCCATATTTCTGGATGCCTGAGTTCATCTTGGGATGTAAAGGAAGAAACGCAAGGAAGGTGGGCACTTCCCCCCTCATGGGGGCTTGGTTTTACAGTTAATCTTCTACTTGGTTCATTTATCACGCAAAGAACGGATCAAAACCTGTGCCATCATATCATCTTCATCAGCATCATAATCCTACAAACAAATAATACAGCAACTCTTACTGCAGCAGCCACATTAGTTAATACAAGATCAAGCAAATTCAGAAAACAGCCGCCTCGATTTCATTTACTAATTATCCAATTTCTCTAAAATAATGAATAAACTGACTATTGAGATATCATCTGCATGGATCACACTACACAGTAGCAGCTATGTAACAAAGCTGGAGTTTAAGAGTCATCACTCTGTATTCCAAAGGCAAGGAAACACATACCACAAAAGTATCATATGAAAAGCGATGCCGCCTTTGAAGGTGCTCCATAAAGTTAGCACTCCTGTAGTTTGGATCTCCCCAAGGCATTGAGGCACAAATTGGGCAGACCTACAAGGAAGAAAAAGGACAGTGACAATATGATCAAACAAAAAGATTAAAGTCTGAGATTTGTGACAATTGCTACTCTATACGCACAAAAATTTTACATTATTTTACTAGGCCTTTTAATAACAAAAATTAGGTGAGTCTGAATTTTTTTTTGATTTTTAGTCCTCCGAGCTGGAATAGTTTAGTCTTCTCCTTATATACTGAAAATTCGAATTATCAACTACAGCTGTTTGCTTTGGAAGATTTCACGTATTTTGCAATAACAGAAAAGTTTCCTTGTACTCTTTTGCAAAGATGACTTCTGTCAGAGAGATTTTTTTTCCCTTCATAATTTAATAATTTTGAATTCCAAAGAACACTTTCAAGACAAATGAAAGATTCAAAGTCAGTTCCAAGTTTTGTAATTCCTCTTGCATGTGAGAGAACAGTGCAGATGAAGATTATTAGACAAGAAGCATTTTTTTTCAAAGTAAAGACAAGAAGCAAATTTTTTTCAAACTTAAATATGAGAATAGCATACCCACCTTTGACTTTAAAAGAATCAATTACAACTATGTACTGAATTTCAAGCAACAATTCTCTCACTCACTGTCTCAAAGGGAGTTAAGACCAGACCTGATTGCAATTCTTGAATCAAGACTCATTACCACTTGTTTTGCATCCATGCTGTGCAGTGTTTTGCAGTGTTCTACTAGTCCTTCTTGATCAAAGTTTTTCTCACTGCAGTACGGACAAGGAAAGGTAAAGCGATTTGGAAAATTCCTAGTTGGAGTGGATGGGGAAGAAAAAGAGACCATTTATCATTTTAGAAGCATTGTTCCCAATGTCTCCTAAATGTTTCATTGATCCCAATTGTTCTAGCTACTTTATTTCCATTTTTTTACAAATTATTCAAAACAATCTCATTCTATGTAGTTAAGGTAAACTAATTGCAAGAATCAGCTTTTTAATTCCTATTAATATATTACAGAACTCTTAATATCATCCATATTGATATAAAAATAGCTCTTTTACAAATGCTACAAATACCATTTATCCTTTTGCCTTCTTTATTTTTTTAAACAAGGGACAATTAGTCACCCAACATGCTACAATACAGATCACTGCAATCATTTCCAACTTCCCTTCATTATAAGTTACTAGGGTCAAGACASAAAGATAAAACTACTATTTAATATCCCCTCTCCACATATACACACACCTTTTACTAAGTACCCTGATCTTGAGCTACAACTTGCATGATCAACACTGGAGAGCAGAACAGCTTGTCTGYGCACATTCTGATGTGGGATTAGGGTTTAGTTTAACAGTATGAAAGGATTACATGAATTAACACCGAAATTGAGTGAAGAGGTAGAGTCTGTTTTCATTCCAGTAGTCAACAGTTTGCATGATGCTTTGTAACACCGTTAACTTTTTAAAACAAGATAAAAGGACAGTTCTCAGAACAAGAATAAATTTTGAGGTTTCACTAGGATTAAACATTTACAGCCAGCTCAAAAAAAAAAAAAGAAACGAGTATGTCAAGAGAATCACTAGTTACCTGGTGTTGTGAAGTGGTTCTTTAGTTACAGCTTTTACACCCTCCATTATGTAATTCTGGTACTTTGAACAAGAAGCTGCATGGCTCCGCATCTTAGAGAGATACATCTGGACAGGCAACAATTAAACAGCAAAGTTTATTTAAACTACTTTGGAATTACCTTCAAGCTTTTTAACAGAGGAAGTAAATGATACTTAAAAGAAACAGGCTTTCTATAGAGAAAACACTGAACAGAGGAAAACACTTGGGCTAATGAGACAGCTGTAAATGCTACAGATTTGTTAACCTGTAACTTTGTTGCCTGTAATAAGTTACAAATAATAAGCTGCTCAGGACAGCTCACTTCTCCTAAGCTGTAATACAGAAGTTTCATAGAAAGCCAGTTCATCAGGTTGCTGAAGAGAGGAGTAAATATGATTAATAACCTGGCTTTTYGTAACCCATTGACATCAAGATCTGTGCTGCAGAATATTGTCAGATACATAGAAAGTACAATAAAGGAACCGAAATTAATCTATTTCCACAATTTTTACTTGCAAAAGTAAAAATTTTTCCCCCTGGGGGGGGGAAAAAAAATCCTTTCTATGCTTGAAGTCAGACTAATGATCAATTTTAAAGCATGTTTTAAATTAGGTAACAACCCTACACAAGCCAGGAGGAATGGTGGCATAGGAGGAGTAAGGGGTACAAAAGCAGGTAACAACCAAGATGGTTTAGACACCAATTAGTAGTATATGTGAGCTAAAAAATATAAATAATGAATCAGCCTCCATCAGAAACCACTCGCAAGTCTGACCATGCTGTTTCCAGCATTATCCACCACCAAAACCTCAATTTCTCAGTAAGGAGATCTCCATTTCAAGGCACTGCAATTTCCTGTCTTCTAGATTCAGAAAGTGACACTACTCAGAAACTCGAAGTGAAACTAATTGAATAGACACCCCACCTTCGTTATGAGAAACACATAAAAACAGCAGTGCAGGAAATGAAGAAATTTGTTTTAATCAAGAGACAGCTGTAAACGCTTTTCATTAATATAGTGATGTTCTTTAGTAAGTTAAGTTTTCAATTAAAGACTTTAGCTTCAGAGTGAATCAGTTAATCTGAGGATGAGATACAGGCACATAYGAACTATGAAGCTGCAGCTCTGCTGTAATATGCATCTAATTAACCTTTTCTTACTGCTTTTTTCCATCTGTCAAGATATTTTCCCACACATTCAAATAATGCTAAGAAGTCTAAACTTACAAGGAGTAGGTGTAACGGTAGGAAGGTGTCCTGCAAGTATTTAACAGGCAGGATTTTGCATAATACTAAAATGCATGGAACACACTGGTCACATAGCAGGGCTCTGTCTCGCACCTMTTTCTCAAGAACCAAAGCCCTTCTGCTCAAAGCCTAGGCTGCCAGCATTTCAAATGGCATTTGCCACTGCCTTACAGCGTTACACCTATGCAGACATGCCCACAGTAACGCTCATTTTTAATCCAACACAGCATCTCGCACGCAGAACTTGCTTCCTAGGGAGTTAACAATAAAAACCGTGGAAAGAAGGCCCACACTGGGGTACTGCCCACAGAAACGAGCCCGTAACAGGCACGGAGAGCGGCGCTCGGCCTGCTGCGCGGCAGGGGAAGCGCCGGCTCCCCCGGGGCCGCCCTACCTTTTTATTGCAGCCGTTGCACGCGGTCTCCGTCACCTCGATCTGCTTCTCGAGGTCCAGGGCCCTGGCGCCGGGGCCCAGGCTGCTGCGGCAGACGCCGCAGAGCGGCTTCTTGGCCTTGAGGCACTCCTGCAGGCAGGGCGTGCAGAACCTGCGGGGCAGAGCGCCGTGAGCCCGCCCGCCGTGCGGGACGCTGGGCAGAGCCAGTGCAGAACCGGGGCCACGGGCAGAACCGGCGGGTTTGGGGCGAGGGGAACCTGCTGCTCTGGGCCCGGCCCCAAGCGCCGAGCTGCCCCCGCCCCGGCAAGGCCGCCCCC